TTGAAACTGTAGACCACTTTGGATAGCATTGATATCTCAACAATGTTGTTTTCATATCCATGAACAGAAAATGTCTTTCCACTTACTTAGATGTTCTTTATCTCAGCAATGTTTTATTGATTGGTTGATTGATTGTCTTTTTGAGACAGGGTTCCACTATGCAGTTTAAGCTGGCCCTGACTTTTCTTGTAGCCAAGGCTGGCCTCTTGCCTCAGTCTCTCAAGTGCTGGGATTATAGGTGTACACCACCTTGCTCTGCTTCAGCAATGTTTCATAGCTTTCAGTGAACAAATCTATATCCTTAGTTAAATTTACTCAGTATTTTAATCCTTTTAGATGATACTATAAATACAGTTTTGTATTTCCTTTTTAGCTTGTTTACTGCTGGTATAAACAACTCACTTTTGTGTGTTCACCTTGTACTTTGAAACCTTGCTAAATTATTTTATGAGCTCTAGTAGCTTTCTTCTGGGTTCTTTAGGGTTTTCTATTCTTTCAAATTTAGATTTCTCTTTATTTTGTTTAATTGCTCTGGCTAGAACTTTTAGTACAATGTTGAATGCAACTCAGCATTTGTCCTGCCTCAGCCTACCAAGTGCTGGACTTATAGGTATGCGCCACCACACACAGATCTGAATTGCTTACTAGTTATTGTACTTCTGCAGTAGTGGTTCCCAAGCTCCCAGCCTCTGCATTAGTGGCTACCAATACGCTAGGGGTGTTAATCAGTATCCTGAAGTACAGATTGCTGGGCTCTTGTCCCAGAAGTTTTGATTCTTTGGCTCTGGGGTAGGACATAGGATTAGGCATGTTGGACAGGTTTTAGGTGAGGCTGCTGCTGCTGATCTGCGCTTTGAACTACTTTTCTTCACCATACTGAATGGCAGCACGTTATAACTCTTAACCATGCCTCCAAGTCACTTGTGAGGTTTTTATATTTCAAAATGATATTATATGACTGGGTAGCTGAAAAAGCAAAACTGTGCAGATGGTTACAATTCCCCAAATAAATGGATACTGAAAGTATTTGTCGATTGGAAGACATAATGTTTTTTTTTTTTTTTTAAGACATAATGTTAAAATGTGGATTTTCCCCAAATTTGTCTCTAGATTTAACATAACTCCAAATAAAAATCCCAGCAGCCTTTTTCCTAGGAACTGACAAACTGATCCTGAAATACAAAGGAACTAGGATAGCCTAAATGGTTTTGAAAAAGAAATAGTCCAGAAATAGACCCTCACACATAAGATTAGAGGAAAAGATAATTAAAGTGCAGCCTTTTTAAAATTAATTAATAAATTAATTAATTAATTTAATACAGGGTCTCACTATGCAGCTCGGATTCATAGTGATCCTCCTGTCTCAGCCTCCTCAGCACTGGGATTACAGGTGTGGGCCACCATGCCGGGTTCAGATGGCCTGGCACTGTGAACCGGGGCCAGCATGGCATGCAGCCCTGGCAGTCAAATCCAGGTCCTTAAGTTTGCCAGGCAGGAGCTTAAGCCTCTGAACTGTCTCTCCAGCCCAGGGCAGCCTTTTTAATAAGTCATGCTAGAACAACTGGATATCAGTTTGCTACTGAAAAGAAAAAAAGAACTTTTATTTCTACCTGTTATAAGCAAAAAAAATTGCAAAATCAATCATAGACATAAATATGAAAGTGAAAATATAGAGCTTCTAGGAAAATTAAAAAATGTTTGCAACCCCAAGGCAGAAGATTTATTAGGAAAAATAGCAAAAGCGATAACCATAAAAGAAAAAAAGATGGAATTGATTAATCAATATTAAGAACTTAATGTTGTTCAAAAGACATTGGTAAGAAAAAGAAAAGACAAGCCATGGACTGGAGAAAATTTTATGTATGTGTATGATGAAGGTGTTCAGAAAGTAAAGAGAGAAAAAGAAAAAGAAAGTGCAAAGAATTCCCCCTTTGGGCTGTTGTGACTCAGTAGACATGGGGTGGGGCCTTTCCATATACTAAAATAGCTACCTGAAACTTTAAAAAAATTCTCTCAGATTTCAGAACAACTGTCAAAGGACTGAAATAGTAATGGATTTGGGCAAGGGGTGCTGTCCACTAGTCGGCAGAACTGTGGAAATCTCTGCCAGATAATTATTCAAGCAAAAAATTATTAAATGGGTCACTGGAACCAAATCAGAGTTAAAAAAATACTTATGCATGGGAATTTAATCTATAAAGATGCATTTAAAATTAATGCAGGTTTAGGGTGTAGCCCTGTGGTGCCATTCTTTTGTAGCCTGTGCAAGGTCCTAGGTCTGATCCCTGGAACTCAAAAAAGAAAAATTAAATTAGTAGAGGAAAAAATATATTCTTTAATAAATTATGGGGATAACACACACTTCGTACTGCCATGCTAGCCATTAAATTTTATTATCTGAATTTTAGAGGGGATACAATCAAACCATAGTAAATAGTAAATTTTACATGTATTTTAGTACAAGAAAAAAAATGAAAAAAGCCTCCAGATTATATAGAATATACTACAAGTAAATGTCTTCTTGATTTAAGACTGTTACTATGAACACTGGTTGTTCTGAATTTATCGTAGCTCATCCATTCTCTCCCTCTTTCTGCCTGCCCTTTCCCTGATCCGCAGCAGCCAGGGCCTCACACGCAGTAGGTAACACTACCACAGAGCTACCCGATCAGCCCTTTGTACTCTCTTATGCTTATTAACTTTCTTTTCCAGTATTCTTGGCAGGACTTTGGTTTGGGTAGTTTAGTTATGTCTTTAGTAGGTTTTAGTTGCTTGTATAGTACAACTAAAACCAAATGGCTGTAGTTTATCAGTCATTTCTGGCCTCTAGAGTGTTGTTGCTTATTCCACACTACCTTTCCTGGCTTGTGTTTTCAGTGATTGAGTAGTTAGAAATTTGGCCTGAATTCTTAGTATATCTATATTCCTTACTAATTTTGGTTTTGTGTTTCAGTTAAATACTTTTTCTTAATTTGATGAAAGAGTATAAATATGTTTCACAGTTATTAGTATAAGCTTTACGCTGCTAAGAAGTTTAGGCCGCCAGAACCTGTTGTTGGCCAATAGTGTCAAATGGGAAGGAGAGGCATTTCCTGACACTCCCAGGATTATAGTCTGATGAATGGGTGCAGTGTTGTCCAATTGGAAAAAATCCAATATTGTTACAATGTTAATTTTCAAGGTTTTGAGGTAGTCGAGGTTTTTTAAAAATAATTGGGTAGTGAAGTAGGTGAAATCTAATGCAGAGTCTTCTTTAATAAAGGACTTTCTAGCTTGAAGGATTAACATTTGAAAAATATTTAGTTAAATAAGGGTAGTTGTGCTCTCGGATTTATTTTTATTTTTATTTTTATTTTTTTTTTGTATTTTTGAGACAGGGTCTCCCTATGCAGTTCAGGCTGCCTTCAACTCACTGTGTAGCCCTGGCTAGCCTCAAACTTGCAGCAATCCTCCTGCCTCAGGCTCCCGAGTGCTGGGATTGCAAATGTACCACCATACCTGTCTGCTTTTGAATTGTTAACAATGTCTTTCTTTTAAATAATTTAAGGAACCTTTGATACTTTTTTTTTTTTTTGTCAGGGTCTTGCTATATAGTCCAGGTTAGACTCAGACTCACAAAATCTTCCTGCCCCTGCCTCCCCAGTGCTGGGATTACAGTCATGTGCTACCATGCTCAGCCTTTAAGTATAGTCAGGAGGTGGTACAGCCATCATAGCTTACTTTTTTTTTTGGTGGTTGGCCAATTTTTTTGTTTGTTTTTTTGAGTCAGGGTCTCATTATGTAGTCTAGGCTGGCCTCAAACTTGTGACCCTCCTGCCTCAGCCTCCTGATTACAGGTATGCTATGCCATGTCTGGCTACATCTACCAAGTTTAAACATTTTATTTTGTTTGTGGTGTTGGGGATAAAACCAGGACTTCACATTGCTAGGCAAGTACTCTACCACGAGCTACATCCTTAGTTTTTATTTATTACTATTATTAATGACAAGGTCATTGTCATTGCTAATTTGTCCTGAAATTTGTAATCCTCCTCCTTCAGCCTCTTGAATAACTTGGATTATAGGTTTGCTCTGCTACACCCAACGTCCCAGGACTTTTAATGACACCAAAAAGAAACATGTACCCATTAGCCATGTTCCCCATTTCCTTCAGTGACCTCAGCTTTAGGCAATGAATAATCTCTCTGTAGATTCTGGACATTTTGGTAAATTAAATATGTAATGTGTGATCTTTTGTGACTTCTTTCAGTGTTTTTAGACATCTTTGTTTTAGGATGTATCACTACTTCATTGTTTTACTACCCAAAAGTTCCTTTGAATGAATATATTATACTTTTCTACTAGTTGATACACATTTGGGCTGTTTCTGCTTTGGGGATATTATGAATAATGCTATCATGAACATTCATATACAAGTTTTTATGTGGATTTTTTTTTTTTAGCAAAATATATTTATTGGGGAAAAGAAAGCTCTAGTCTGAGAGAGGGACAGGAGGGGAGACCTGAGCGGGTAGTCCTCTGGATATGTGTTTTAATTTCTCTGGACTATACACTTAGTAATATTGCTGGATCATAGGGTAATGTTGTGTTTGACTTTTTGTGTATGTGTGTGTGTGTGTGTGTGTGTGTGTGTGTAGTACTGGGAATTGAACCTAGAGCCTTCAGATTGAGCTATACCCTTGCCCTTTTTATTTATTTTATTCTTTGTATTTTGAGGCAGGATCTCACCGAGTCACTAAGTTGTTCAAGCTAGACTCAAACTTGTCCTCCTGCCTCAACCACCAGATTGCTGATCACAGATGTGTGCCACTGTGCTTGACTTAGCTGGAATATTATAGAAATTTTGCTGTATTTTTCACATTGTACCCTTGCAGGTGGCATATAATGTCAATTTCTATTAATCCCTGTAAAAGGAGATAGGAAGGAAAGGGATAGGAGGCAATACACATTGTTTTGCTTTTCAGAGAAGCTCTGGTTCAATAAATACCTCTTCTTTGTAGCATCCTGGTGGAGAAGAGGTTCTGCTGGAACAAGCTGGTATAGATGCAAGTGAAAGCTTTGAAGATGTAGGCCATTCCTCTGACGCCAGAGAAATGCTAAAGCAGTACTACATCGGTGATCTCCATCCGGTAAGAACTGTCAAAAAGTGAGGAGCACTTACGTGAAGAAAACTAGTGAATAGCCACAGAATGATAAAAGAATGATTAAAGTAGAACCCAGTCATTCAACCCAGTCATCAGGCTGAATTTTCTCTACATATCATCTAGCCTTACAGTAAAACAGGTGTCTTTGAAAAGCTAAGGGGATTGATTTTGGGTTAATTTTATTGATTGATTGATCTTTGTATGGCAGCAAATAACATCTTTACCTAAAACAGTGATTTGCTAGTTCTTGGAAGTCCCATGCCAAAGGTGGTACTATGGACTTTTAATTCCTTCATACATAGGAGGAGACCCTGGTATGGTGAGGGCAGGAGGCAGGAGGTCAGTTCTCATGTGCAGACCCTGAAGTTTCCCAAGAATTCACTGCTAAAGTTATAGTCTCAGGTTCCAACAGTAGAAATTAGCACATAGCAAGAGTTTGTTTGGATATGTCTTAACATGTCTTACAATACTGTTTCTCTTTTCGCAGAATGACCTGAAACCTCAAGGTGGTAGCAAGGTAAGAAGTCATCAGTTTTTCTTGTGTGTTTAAAATATTATATATGTTTACTTGTTTACTCAAGGAGAATTGTTTTGTTAAACAATTATCTTAGCAAGAGAAGTTAAAAAGTTTAAAAGTATTTACTTTTTCCCCAAGCAAAAATCCTGTTTTTCAGGAATTTGGACTCAGTACCTCTCAGAAAAAAGAATAGCTGAGTCTTGGACAGTAGGAAACATTTTGTTAATACTTCTATATGCTTTCTTTTTTTTAATTGAAAATCTAAAGCTATATTTTCTGTATGGTTTTTGAAAGAAATTAGTTTATGGGTTCAGTTATAGAACAGTATCTTACTCTTACATTATGGGAACAGGTGCTAATAATTGCTTCTATATAAAAAAGATTTGGACAGTTAGTTCTTTCTTATATGTTGTCTTCTTTAGAAGAACAGAGACCTTTCCTCCTTTTTCAAACTTACTTTATTTTGCAAGCTCAGATAGGCTCACACCCTTCCCAGTAACTCAATGATACCGCAAAAACAAAAGATTAAATATGGGAGTATTTGGGGTTTGCTTGCTCTCTCTCTCGCTCTCTCTCTCTCTCTCTCTCTCTCTCTCTCTCGCTCTGGCTCTGGCTCTGGCTCTGGCTCTGGCTCTGGCTCTGTCTGTCTGTCTGTGTCTCTGTCTGTCTGTCTCTGTCTAGGTCTGTCTTGAGCTCATTTTGTAGCCTGGGCTGGTCTCTAATTTGCAGCGATCCTCGTGCCTCAGCCTTCCTAGTGCTGGGATCAGGACTGCACCACCATGCCTGGCTATAGTATTGCAGTATATTTGAAAAACTTAACATATCTGCATTATATACTAGGAAAATATGAAAGCCTTGGCTGCCTCCAACAAGCTGGGTGGCTCCATCTTACTTATTCTCTTAACAATTTTAAATAGCTATCACTGATTTTAAAAGACAACAATCTAGATTCTGCCTAGAATAGGATAGACAGCATATAACCTCTCTTCCTCATAGGTTCTTACTTCCTGTTCCTCACTGAGCTGGAATTACTGAGCAGGCTTGACACAGAGGTTCAGTTTGGCCTGGACAGGAGATTTTTTTTTTCATTCCAGTGTCTGCCATCTGTCACTGTGCAATCCAGGGTGTTTGTATAAATTAACCCTTCCATCTTGCTAAACTTTACTACTATTAACTATTGAGTTGTTGTTGTTTTTTTTGTTTTTTTTTTTTTTTTTTTTTTTTTTGGTGGAATCGGGGATTGAACTCAGGCCCTTGCGCTTGCCAGGCAAGTGCTTATTCCACTGAGCCATCTCCCCGGGCCCCTGAGTTGTTTATGAATGGGGATTAAAATGGTTCTTTAAACACATCATAAGCACTGCTGGTTAATTTGTCCTCCCCTTCTTGTAATGTACTACCCATACTTGAAACCTCCCTTGTAATATTAAGGTAAAATTTGAACCAAATGTTGTCTTTTTTTTTTTTTTTTTTTTTATGTGTGTGTGTGTGTGTGTGTGTGTGGCCAGCTCAGCCCACCAGGGGGCGGGGCTGGCTGGCATGTGGTGCTGGGGGATTGAACTGGGACGGTCCCTGTGGCTTTGCTAAGCTTGTTTTAAGTAGGTGCTTTAGACCACTGAGCCATCTCACCAGCCCCGCAAATGTTGTCTTGATTAGTATACCGAACATGTGCCCAACATACCACTGTTAGTGATCAAATTTGATCAAGGGATATTCCCATTTTTCCAAGAGATATATCTTATGTCTAAGAGCCACAACCCCATTTATGCACAGCAATCATGAGAGCAGCTTTATGTTAAAACAGTAAAAGAAAATCTGTTTGCAATTACAGTATCTGGAAGTCTGTGAATTGCTTTTCGTTGCTGTTTTTCTTGGTAATCTAATAGGTAGCTAGAGCTCTCTGAGGAATAGAGCTCACTGTTTCTCCAGTTTTGTTTCTTATGCCACCTAAGTCAGAATTGCTTGGAATGAACAGAAAATCTACATTTCCTGGTCTTCCGTGGCATCTCTAGAGGTAGCAATTGAGCGTTTGTATTTTTGTCTGTCTTTTTATTTTTGTCTTGAGACAGGGTCTCACTATGTAGTTCAGGTTGGCCTTGCACTTCTGTCAATCCTCCTGTCTTGTCTCCTAAGTGCTGAGATTACAGGTGTGTGCTTCCAGCTGCACTTTCATATTAAATAATCCGGGTGATAAGTAGGTTCCCAAGGGCCAAGCTTTTGCTAAATGATATGCCCCTTCTTTTCATTTGCAAACTTAGTAAAATTTAATTCTCTTCTGTGGGAAGAACTTACCTGTCTTCTATAGGCTAAAAAATTAATTAAGAGATTTCCCAGCTGAATTAAAACTTTTGTACCTTGGATTTTTTTTAAGAATTACAGAGAAAGAACTCATTTCAGCTCACCAAGATCATCTCCAAATGTAGAGTAGCCTCTGCTGGGGCTAAAGGGTGACTAAACATAGTATTTTCACTGCTCTGTTTCCCTCATATCACTTGTATGCAAGTAACCTGCCCTCTTGAAATAGCATCTGGCTGCTGTGTTTCTAGTCATTCTACCTCAGACAAGCAGCCTTTTGGTACATTTTCAGGATATAGAAGTATATTCCAGGGGCTGGGGAGATAGCTCAGTGGCATAAGCACCTGTCTGGCAAGTGCAAGATCCTGAGTTTGATCCCCAGTGCAAAAACAAAAAGAAGTATATTCCAATGTAACTTTAATTCCAGGAGAGAGTTTTTGATCCCTCAGATTTATCTCTTGATAAATAAGCAAACACATTAATAGACACTTGCAGGTATAGGCTATAAGTGTCCATTTTATTCATTTTTTTTGTCTCCAGCTTAAACATTCACCATCAAGCTGTGGAAGTGAAGTTCATTTCATTAATTATTTGTCTTTATCTTAGTTTATGGTGTCTGAAACTATAAAGAAATGATTTTTCCCCCCTAAATCTAATTAAAAGGAGACTTCAGCCTTAAGGGAGACTTTTCTTTTTCTTTTTTTTTTTTTTTAAATATATTTAGTACAGGGTCTACAGGGTCTCACTACCTAGATCAGACTCATAGTGATTCTCCTGTTTTCAGCCTCCCAAGTGCTGGTATTACAAGTGTGTGCCACCACACCCAGTCTCAATCGCTGCCTCAGCACACCCCAGGGCAGGGCCGGCACAGCAGGGCACACTGGGGATCGAACCCTGGTCTCTGTGCTCTGCCTAAGGAGGCGCTTTAGTCCACTGAGCTGTTTGACCGGCCCTTAAGGGAGAATTTTAGTTGCTAGTCTCCTTCGTCTGTTTCTTTGCTTCTTACCTTTATATCCCTTATCTCTGAATCTCACCCCAAGATAACATCCAAAGTGTTGCTATTCCAGAGTATAAATCAAAATCTTTTCCCAGTTCTTTTAGAAGCCACTGGCTATGTTGGCACGCCCCTGTAATCCCAGCACCCAGGAAGCTGAGGCAAGTGGACCCACTATGAGTTCGAGGCCAGCCTGAACTGCATAGTAAAACCCTGTCTCAAAAAGACAAACAAAAAGAAAAAAAAATGAAACTACCTTTTATATTACTTTATAACAATCAATGGTTACCATTATTTTATTGTTAAATTGATAATATATGAGTTGAAGGCCCTGAAATACTATAACCTAGAATTTAAAAAGCTTAGAGATTTATAGCTCTGACAGTAGATGTCTTTCTTACCTGTATCAGTTAAGGATATTTAACTAGAATTGAAAATCATTAGTCCCCCACTTCTGTGCTGGACTAATCCCTATGCTGAGAGCAGTCTGTCTTCTATTCATATTTGACTTAACAGTTTTAGGTCTACTTTTGGTTATGGAAACTTCTTAGAAACAGACCAAGTGTTACTTAAGTGTGTACTTTCTTCCTTATTCTGCAACAGACAGCCCGGCATTTTTAGTGTGTGGATTGCCTTTTTGATTATGCATTTACTTCTTGGTTGACTGTTTTATCACTTGGCCACCAGTTCAGTAGGGAAAGTACATACACATCTTAACCTGATGGAGAAGGTGGGGACCATTTCTCAGCAGCTGCTGTGTTATCTAGGTATTAGCTCAACTAATCTACTAGTAAAGTCTCCTGCCAGCAAATAGACCAATAACTTGACTGTTTTGCCATTTAAAAAAAAGAAAATTAATGCATGACATGGTTGAAAAAGTGAAATAGTTCTAAATATTAGAAGTTTTTTTTTTCTTTATATGTATTTGGTACAGGGTCTCACTATGTAGCTTGGACTTACAGTGATCCTCCTGTTTTCAGCCTCCTCAGTGCTGGGATTATAGGCATGCGTCACCACACCCGGACTCTGTTGCCCACTCAGCATGCTCAGGGGCAGCATGTGGTGCCAGAGATCCAACCCCTTTCCCTGTGCTTGCCTAAGTAGGTGCTTAGTCTGCTGAGCTATCTTGCCATCCCAAGTATTAGCAGTATTAATGTTGCCATACTAGAACTAAGCTCCCAACAAATGAACTTTCAAGGGAAAGTCAAATCATTATCCAAACCATAGCAGTTACATTAAACTAGACATTTATTCTCTTTTTAAAAAAAATTTTATTTATGTGTGTGTGTGTGTGTGTGTGTGTGTGGCCAGCTCAGCTCACCAGGGGGCGGGGCTGGCTGGCATGTGGCGCTGGGGGATTGAACTGCGGTCCCTGTGCTTTGCTAAGTTTGTTCTAAGTAGGTGCTTTAGACCACTGAGCCATCTCTCCAGCCCCTAGACATTTATTCTTGTAAGAGTTCTTTAATATTCCTGTTGTACCTACTACCTAATTTATTAAAGGATGCAATTCCCCTTTAGAGGAGTACTAATTGCTGTTTAACCGAAGACTTTTGTCTAATTGTTTCACTGTTTCTTGTTTTTCTGACATTTGTGTTTTGTAACATGATTTTTTGGAAAGAAGTATAGAATGTCACAGCAAAATCATTGAAAAATAAAATATTTTTCCTTGTGATATCAAGGATTAACACCTTGGGAAACTAGAAATGATGGGGAG